GATTAGGCGAGTAATGGTGTCCTGCAGGGTTCAATTCTTGGACCGTTACTATTTATAACATATATTAATGATCTGTGTGACATTCCAAGATCCCCAAAATGAATTATTTACGCTGACGACACCAACACACTTTTTAAAGGTAGAATACTCATGCACCTTGAAACTGAAGTAAATGATTACTTACTCAAATTAGAAAAATGGCTTCATCAAAATAAGCTCATCCTTAATATATTTAAAAGTAAGTACATAGTATTCCAGCCTATTAACAAGCCTTACGAGGACGACATTAACATCTTTTTGAAGAAGCAAAGGCTGGAGCAGGTTAAATCGCGAAAATTCCTCGGAGTGTGGTTCCAAGAAAATTTGTATTGGAATACTCATGTTGATAGTCTCGCATCCGAACTAAGTAAAACAGGTGGGTGTATATTTAAAATAAATCCACTTATACCAATTTGGCTAAAAAAAAAAAAAAGATATACTATTCTCTTTTTTATTCGCGTTTAAATTATAGTATGCTAGTATGGGGCACTACAAGTGAGAAGAATTTAAATAAACTAGAAATCTTACAGAAAGGCCTATTCGATGATTATTATGGCCACCCAAGGCAGATTCCTAGCGGTCCATTATTCATAAAACATGATATACTCAAAGCAAGACAGGTGTATGAATATAAGCTATTACTTTACATTTATAAAAATAAACTCCACACTATTACGGCACCGGAAGGTGCACTCATATACTCGCTCCGTAGGCAACAATTTCGCGTTCCTGCTACTAGGACTAGATATGATAAAGCCCTAATTGCATACCGCACCCCACAGCTTATAAATCATTTAGGTGAACAATAAAATTTTAACCTCTCATTAATGCAATTCAAATATCACATAAAACATCTCCTCATTAATTGAGTATAGTAAACATCATGTTTCCAATAAACTTCTGGCTAGGTTCCACATATGCTCTCACCTTTAGGTACAAAATGCGTGTATATACAATAGCATGTACGAACATATGGGCAATGTATTATTATGTTAGTGTATTATATGAATATATCAATATGTATGTGTGTTTTTTATATGTAATGAAAAGAGCCTCGATGTCTGATTCTGTGTGTCTATGCAGCCTATTTTTTGTACTTATATGTCACCTATTTTTGCTTTTATGCTATTTCTGTTTTTCTGTTATTATGCTGCTCCTTGTATTGTGATTATTATTCAATGTAGCACTGTTTGCTGAACTTTTTTCGCGTAGCGAAGCCACATCAGGCCGTATGGCCTTTCGCTTCGCTTCGTTTTTCTGTATTCTCTCCAAAAATAAAATCTGTTCACTTCAAAAAAAAAAAAAAAAAAAAAAAGGTACTCCTGGAGACGTAGAGCCCAGCAACCTAGGCGACCAGTTGGGTCCTTGAGCAACAACAACCAACACAGAGTGCGGTGGTTCATAATAACTGAAAACTTTGGGCCATACAACTAGGGATTTCGCTACAGCCCAGACCAACGCAAGACACTTGCCCTCCGTTACCGAATAGTTTCGCTCAAATGTGGAGAGAAGGCGGCTGGCATACGCAATAACACGCATTTGGCCTCCCTGGTGTCGAGTGAGGTCGGCCCCAACGCCGTGAGCACTGATGTCTGTGCGAACATCGGTGCTCGCGAACGGGTCGAAGTGAGCCAGTATTGGTGGTGAAGTGAGCAGTTCGATTAGCGTGGAAAACGCAGCTGCTTGGTCTTGGCCCCACGAGAAGGGCGCATTCTTTTTGAGAAGATCAGTTAGTGGTCGTGCAATTGTAGCGAAATTGCATACAAAACATCCGAAGTACGAGCATAAAACCACAAAACAACAAAGATCTTTAATAGAAGAAGGCAGAGAAAAGTTTTTTACAGTGCTAATTTTGTCAGGGTACGGTTGGACGCCAGCATCACTTACACGATGACCAAGGACCGTGATTTCTCGTCTCCTGAGTGCTAGGGAGTGCGAGAAGGTTCTTGTGAAGGCCCACCGCAAATAGAGCGAGCTGAGCGATTCGCTGCTCCGACACATGGCCGCCAAACTGGAGGGCCAAGACTACCACCAGTACCTGAGAGCGTTGTCCTTCTTTTGCTACCTAAAAGATGATTGCCTTGCCACGTTGGGCGAGATCAACAGCGCTCTGGTCTTTGAGACACAAGTTGAGGAACCGGAAAGCGAACGAGCCCCTCGCACTGATTCCACAGGAGAGCTGTCGCTCGCAAAGTCGACCGAGTGCGGCGGCTACTTCTCGCTGGAGGTCACTTTCATCGACTACCAGTACCGCATCGCAGATATGGCCGGAGAGCTGAAACGCATGTCGGTGCACGGACTGGGACGTGGCCACCGGGAGACACAGCACGACATGTGCAGGTTCCTGCGAGTCCTGTACCTCACGGTCATCTCGTGCAGTTTCCTGCCCTGTCAGAGCTCGTGGCGAAGCTGGCCACAGGACATAGGGGAGACCCGCTCAAGTTTGCCCGGCGACGCCAGCGCTTGCCTTTCCCCTGCCAGAAAAATCGCACAACAGTAGAGCCTTCCGACCCTTCCGCTCCCTTTGGCTTCCACGCATTTGCGAAGCACGCGCTGCACGTGAAACGTCCCTCGTTCCGCGATGTCACCCCAACAGAAAAGGGGGTGACATCGCTGCGTCGTCATCTGTCACAATAACCATGCAAACACGAAGAGGTCGACTCCACCAGTGAAATTCTACCGATTCCCAAACCGATGGTACGAAACAAGCAGACGACAGAAATGGATTAAAGCAGTGCCCCGAAAAAAGTATGTAAACAATTTTTTTTTCATAAACATTAGCACGCGCACAATAAATTCAAAATTACGTGTGTTCATTCCAGCGTCACCGTTTCTCTAATCTATCGAGTTACTCGGAGATGCACGTCCCCATCTTAAAAGTATAGATTTTCAACGCCCGTCTTTAGAGCACTGTTAAAAAATAGTGAATAAATATTTTATGCTGCTACTATTATTCGATATTGTTGGGGACGTAGTAGTTGAAGCTGTGTTCACATGTGGTATTGGTAATGTGTTGTTATATATTTTTAAATCTACGTAGCGCCGACGAAAGTGTGTGGTTGCCAAAAGCTTGGACAACTATGAAAAAAAGAAAAAAATGCATTAGCCGTTGTTGCACGTCCGTTAGCAGATACAGTGAACTAGTTGTTACTGAGTGTGCAGGGGCAGCCCGAACAACACGGTGCATTTTTGATACGTGTAAAAGATAAAATACCTTTACAGCAATGAGCTTAACCGCTTAACCTAAAGCACGAGAAGCGGCCTTACCCATCCATCTAGGAACAAACATAGTGCATAGTACACAGAGTAAACCAAATAAAACAAGCATATAATAATGAACGTACAAAAAGTTTTATTCACCTCTAACCTCGTAAACAGCGTCGTCTTTCACTTGCGAAACGCACTTCGCTCCGACGAGGACGGCGTCGTCTGCTACAACTTGCTTCGCTGCCCTTTTACTAAAGTGCTGCCACGAAAAAAAATCCTCAATTGCGGCATCCTAATAAATACGGATAGAGCGCACCGCACGCGACGCGAAACTCTCAAAAACACGTGCAGAACGCGTGCAGCGCACGAGCAAAGAAAAGCGTTTTTAAGGCAGGTTGAATGGGACAGCGGAGGGGCGAAGACTCGAGTAACCAGTTTTCTCCCCGCATTGACTGACAGCGCCACGCTCCGCAGCGCCTCCCTCGGCGTGGGTCTCCCCTATGGGCTCTGCTCCAGAATGTGGTCGAAGTCGAGAAGGCCTGCTATGCCACAAAGCTTCACGATCCTTCTGGTGGGGAGACCCAAAATGCCAAGGTCGTGGCTATTCTCCCGCTGATGGAAGACCTCGCAGTGGTCGACGGGAAAGACCTCGTGGAAGTCGAGGGGGAAGACCTTGGGGAAGTCGAGGTGGAAGACCTGGCAGAGGCTTGAACTCTGTTTTAACTTCAAGCTCTGCAGAATTTAGTTGGTGTACCGTTGTCTTGGGTATGATCACTTTGTGACATACAGGAATGAATTCGCACGAATTCAAAACAACCTGCTGTACTTGCGCGTTGGCGTTAGCACACAGTCCTAAAAGGCAAAGGAATCGAGCGATATGATAAAACAAGTAAATCCCCCTCGCACCCCCCCCCAAAAAAAAGCATCAAACAATATACTGATGGATACCCCTCGCAGGAGGTATGTACCTAAGACGCGCAAAACTCTGGCAATGCAATGAATACATGCACACACCAAACATCATCTGTGTTGCCATGTGAATTCGCTCCTGCTCCATCACAGGTCGGTTATCCAAGACAGCTCAAGTACCCAGCACCTCCACCAATTTGTTACGGGGATTACAAATACATGGAAGAGAGAAACGAGTGTATTTCTAATATTTACAGAAAGGTGTGACACCCCAGGGCTGCCAGCATCTCGTGCGGCGAGTCCACTTCTTCATCGATTCGTCTACGACAGCCGAGCCATGCCCACTGCCTCGTAACAATATTAATACTGAATTGTAACTAGGTGGTTGACAATAATGCACTGAGAAAATGAACGGGACATGCATCAAGTTGATGTCACTGCTCGTTTAAGAATGCTAAGGAAAAGATGGCTCTGTGTCTTATTTCTAGCGTGGGTGCATAGTTTTCTTACAATTTCAATACATTTTAACATAAGAAACACCAGGAAAAACATAAAACAAGTACTTTTTTGGACTTCATATAGGTGGGCAATTTAAATAAGACATGCTTACCGAGAAAGAAAAAAAAAGTCCTTTCTTCGCTTTTCGTTAAAAAAAATTGTCTTTTTAAGTGTGGCCTAACATATCAATTAAACCTCGTACAACTTTTCTGTCTATAATTTACAATTTCTGCATACACCACTTCTCTCAATCTATGCAGGCAGGCTGAAAAGTGAGTGGTCCAAGATTTCACTCGACTCAGTGCACATGAATGATACAAACCCTGTCAAAAGAGGCATCAACTCACCGCTGCGGTCGGCCAGCAAGTTGAGCAGGGCCGCTTGGGCGTGCTCGAGTTGCAATAGCACGGGACTTTGCTGACTGCAGCGCTTCAAGAGGCTTAGGGTCCACACGCACGCCGCCTGTGCAGACATCCCCTCCCTCGCACAGTCTGACACGACACTTAAACAGCTCCACATAGAATACTCACACGTCCAGTACGAAAACATTTAGTATATATGATGGGTATATGCAATGGCTCGAGATAACAGCATCATGTCACTACCAATCTGGCTGCTAAAGGTGAGTGTTCTAGTGAAAATTGCACTGATGTGACATGAACTGGAGACAGTGGAAACAAAACTGTGTGCGCTACTTAGCCCTAAACTCTCACGTTTTAAGCACCAGCCATGCAATTATATTAACCTCAGTACTATAGAGAATGCTTGTCCATGACTTCAACACAACAAAGTTTCACTGCTGCCGCAAAGGGAGACCGAGTCAACCAATTCAAACTTAGGTGGATGCCAAGGATTTGAAGCCTAGAGTCACAAGAGATTGTTGGCAAACACACCTTTCATTTCTGATGCAAAGTAACAGCGAGAATATGCTGAAGTTCAGCAGCACCTTTCTGGCAAGGCTTCCTAAATGAAAATTAACTGGGAATCCAACTGGTTCCAACTAGTACCAACTGGCATCAGCTGGTTCCAGTCCGAAACTAACTGTTCCCAGTTGACTCCAGTTGCAACTGGTTCCAGTTGGCAAGTGGTTCCAGTTGGAAACTAACTGACCCCAGTTGATACCAGTTACAACTGGTTCCAGTTAGCATCTGGTACCAGTTATAACTTACCTGGTCCCAGTTGGGAACTAACCCAGTTGATTCCAGTTGCAACTGGTACAAGTTACAACTTAACTGGTATCAGTTGATCACAGTTGCAACTGGTACAAGTTACAACTTAACTGGTCTCAGGTGATTACAGTTGCAACTGGCTCCAGTTGGCAGTTGGCCCCAGTTACAACTCAACTGGCCACCTACAAGATGACCAGTTGAACTGAAAGCAGCTATCTTTTCTTGTTTAAACGTCATCCCCTTAGCTTATTTATAATATTATTAATAGTCTCACCTCACCTGATGTGTATTTACTATCGTGGATTATCTTGTGCAAGTGCGCTATACACAATGCAGTCAAACATTCAACAGCATTCAGTACATTCAACTAATATTAAATAGCTGCTGTTGTAAATCTTTTACATCTGTCGCGGCCTGATTGATCTCGGGGTGTTCATAATGTCCTTGCTTCGTTGGGAGCATGCCTGCTTGATAGCATTCAGTGCAGCACTGCGATTACTTACGTGAAACGACAAAATATGTACAGTCATATCTCGATAATTCGAACTCGAAGAGGCCCGAAAATTTTTTCGTTTAAAAGAAGTTCGAATTAATAAAAGCTAAGTAAACGGAGGGCTCCCCATACAGTGGCACATGAGCATTGAGCCAACACACGAGGGGGGAGTTTCAGAAGACTGACATTTATTCACAAATCGCAGCACATCTGCCATTGATTGAAGTAATTGGTGATGCACGTCTGCACACGTTTCCTTGCAAAGAGTCAATCAATTTTGCACGCAGCTTGCAAAGCATGTCTACTTCAGCTTCAGCATTCTCCTGGCAAGAGAAGTTGCGCGCGGCTATGTCTAGCGCTGACACTCTCTAAAGACGATGATAACAAAGACTGCAACTCCGCTACTACCCTGATGACGCTGATGATATTGTTGCCTCGCCTTTTGTAACGGGCAATCAAACTGAAAATTCGGATCTGGTACAATAAGTGTCTAATTATTAGTTTGGTGTACTTGCTGCCGGACCTTTTCTGTCCTGCAGATGGTTAGCACACCACCATTGTTCAAATCGACGCTTCATTGCCTTCACCGCTTCCCATTGCAGTTGCTCTTGTGACTCCCGGAAACCAGCAGCAATTTCTGCCGTTGTTCGGGTGGCGTAGCGGCCGCAGAAGAAGTGGTGGAGACCTGTTGTTGCAATGATAGGCAGCGAAGCACGATGTTCTCAATGCTTTCTTCCGCTAGGGTGCAAAGGGGGTATGTCGTGTCGAGGTTCAGTGTGTACGTCGCCCGCAGCAATCGGGTTCGCAACATGCCGCACCTGGTTTTACATAGCAGACCGCTTCCCTTTAAGCTTTCGTACAATGGTTTTTCCTCCATCGCTTGTGTTGCTTTTCTGTAGAAACTCAAAGCGGGATTTCCTGCTGCCCTCGTTTGTCAGCTGGCACTTTCAGCCTCTTGGACGGCGTACCATACCTTGGTCCTCCTGTCCTGCTGAGGTTTCTCCGTAAGTCGGCATGGTGCAACCTCGTACCGCTCCGCCAGGCGTTTTGTGCGCAGCACCTACTTTGTGCTGACGCACTTTGGGTGGATGTACTTATACACCTCACGCGCCATACGTTTGTCTGGTAGTTGACTCAGGCGGCGCTCATAAGCGAGTTTGGACACTGCTTCCTGAGCCTCAAATAAAGACCAGCCCACCTCGCCTTACACCACCTCATTTCGTACGCCCCTGTGGACTCCCAGTGCGGCTCTACCTGCCTCCCTCTGACGTGCTTCAAGGGACTGAAATGTCCCGGATAACGAGCAGAGCACACTGTTTGCAAAAGTCAAACCCGAACCACTACTGACTCCCAGAGCTCTCTGGTGACTTCAGATCTGTTGAATGTCCAAAGTGCCCTGTAGTTTAGAAAGGCACGCTTTCTTATTACTCTGGGTTTAAGTTCACTCTCGCAGTGGTGTGTATAGTGAGGTGCAGATGACAATGTCACTACCAAGTATCTGTACATGTTTGTCCACTCTATAGGGTTTCCCTGGAGCATGAGCCTGTTTTCAGTGTATTGCATGGGGTTCTTTTGGTTCCCCATAACCATGCATGCCGATTTTGCGGGGTTGAAGAGCAGACCAATAGTCTGTGCCTCCTCTGAACATATGCCTAGCAAACGCTGTAGCTCCTTTGTGTTATCTGCAAGTAGCACAATGTCATCGGTATAAAATAGGGCTGGCAGACGGCGCAGGCAAATCACTGCCTAATTCCAGCAGGTAAGGTTGAAGCATGCGTCGCTCTCTCTCGGTTTCCTCTCTATGGTAACTACCAGGACCATGAATAGCACGGGAGACAAGGGGAATTTTGTTACAATGTTAGCTCAAATGCAACGCCCCAACGCGGCACTCATTTTCGTGTTTCTTACCCAATCTTTTGTCCCTCCTTTTGTCACAGGCGCTTCTTACCCAATCTTTCGTAACTCGTTCGTCCACTGCACTTGCTTCTTTGTGAAGGGAAGAAGTGGGAGTGAAGACAAGAACAACGAAATGCATTCACTGCCTGCAAGCACTTGGTGACATCAGCTCCAGTTCTTGTGCATTTCAACCCTGCCAGGCCTGTTTGCCTAACAAAACAACAGCGGGAGACAACCGTGATGAATTGAATTTTTCCCACAAGCAATCTAAGCATTTTCCTTCGCATTTTGGCATTTTAGTACGGGCATGCATTTCACACGGCTGCCCCACCACCGACGAAGCAGCGGAGGCGTGCACGGCAAACCAGGAGAGAAAGAGCGCTCGTTATTGCGTGCGGGTGAGCGCGAGGCTTGAAGGCGGGCCTGCACTCCTCGGGCCGGCGTTGCAGTCGTTCTCGCCGACGCAAGCGCAGGTGTGCCCCCCCTCCAAACCAAAATTACAAAAAGGAAACTACTTTTGTGCGTTGGCAGTGTCACACTTTTAGTTAGCATCAGATATGTGGGGCTGCGCTGCATATGGAAGGCGCTTTACTGAATAGTACTCCGTGGTATCCGTGTCGGTGTCCATGTCGTTTGATCTTCGTTTTCGACACCTAGCGCGCGTGCATGGTTTCACTGCGCGTGCATGGTGTGGTTTCGACGACCTTCAGCTTTGATTTTTTTTATTGTGATAGCCATTATATGGATAGTCTCGGCTGGTTTATTGTCGCTGCCGTCGCTGCCACTCACTATATATGTATACCTATCTATATATATGAAAACTCAAGAAATTTTAAAAAAGCCACTTGCGCTCGGCGCCTAGCTCACCACGATGTGCTGACGACTTATCTCCCATGCGTACTACTTTGCCCCGCGAAAAAAGCCGCCCGCGCTTATCTCCCACCCGTACTTTGCCTTGCAAATGAGGGGGAGGGAATGGTAGATGCTTGTGCGCATGCGTTTATCCTTCGGTGGGGACAATCGCGCGCCTTGACTTTGACTGAAACAATTGCATTTGGTTGCCGGGTGCACAATGATCACTTCGCTCGCTGGACAGGCGCCGTTTGCAAAAAGAGTGCACTTTTCAAACACAGCAAAGTAACCAATGGGGCACTTGTTAGTTCGCACTTATATACTCCATGCACTGAGAATGGCGCGCAGCTGCACGGGCGTCAGGGAAGACAAACGTTAAGAGCCCAAGCAGAATAAAACATTCCCCAACGTGCGTTAGCACATAGTTTATCTGAATCATCAACTGCTCCGTAGTCAATTGTACCAACAGGTACACGCTGTGTCCTGCAGGAACGAAGTTTCAGAGCTTCTCAAGTTGTTCCTGCTTTATTGGGCAGCAGCAAAATCAGTGGATCACGACTGTGGGACGTAAAAACTGTTTAGTTCCTATTTCTTCTGTAGTCTCGCAATCTGTCGATATGTGCTTGAATTGGTCTGAGACACCCTCTGCAGGGGCTATGATTTTGCGTGATGTTTTTGCTGCCATAAAGCTGGTGAGAAAAGAAACGCATGCAAGAAATTTTCTTTTAGATCAAGGCTGATGACACGTTTTAATGGACCTTAATAACTACTAACTCACCGTGTACCGTTCTCAGTTTTGAGGAATGCAATGCGAGGTCAATTAGTGCTTTCATCAGTTGATGGGTCCATGAGCGAAAGGGCGAACTGAGTTACGTAGCATTTAACGCAAACACAAGTAGCCACCCAGCAGCGTAAGCACACTCGATAGAATCAAGCTAGTACATCAGTTTGTTGGTTGGTCCTTATTAATCTTGCGCAAGGCACCAAAGGGGATCGGCCATGAAATGAACGGTGCCTTGTTATATTGATACAAGTCATCATTATCATCAACA